CACTGGCTCATTTCAAGCATTAGCATACTCCCAAACGGGAACACATTCTGTTTCAATTGCCTAAACATACCAGGCAATTCTGTGCGTGCATTTCGAATCTCACTGCTCGTTTTGTTTCCCTGACATACCAGGCTCACGGTTCGTGCAATTTTCTACCAAACGGGTACTAGTTCATGCATTTACTGTTGTACTACACACACGCTTTGTGCGTTTACAACCCATGAACAGAACTTTGGTTTGTTACAATGACTGTTAGCTATTATGTTCACTTATTGTATATTGTCAAACGGGCACTGTTTGTTTCCCTGTCACACAACTATAATGCTGGGGCATAGCTCACAAAAATGTTTCACATAAACCACACTGACCCCTTCAGGTCACTCTCAAAATCTCACGTTAACCTTGCATTTGGATTAACCCCTTAAGGACCAAACTCTGGAATAAAAGGGAATCATGATATGTCACACGTCATGTATCCTTCAGGGGTTAAAGGGTATTTTACCATACAATCAGCATTTCTGACCCCAACTGGTCAACAGTAAAACTGTCTTCACATGTCATATACAATTACTAGCCAATATAAATTACACATAAGAATTGTTTTAAACATAACCATAAACTATGAATTAAACTCCAACACGGGCTCAACTTCAGGTTTAATTCACAATAGTTTACATTTCACATTAAGACTAACAGTGGTTCTATCAACACTGCCACCTACAGGTCTGTCAAGTACATTGACAATTTTCATGGGGTTTTACAAACACCAAAACACTGACCCCTATAGGTCAACAGACAAACAACATTTCACATACCAATCAGTATCAACTACACTGCTACCTATAGGGCACTCAGCAGATCTCCAGTGCACTTGCATTTTGCAACTCCATGTTCACTTGCCATTCAATAAGGCATACAACAATTCACATAGCAAGCAGTATATCAATATCTGTTATAAATACACATATTATTACACAGTAGCACACGCATCTGGATATACGGAACTGGTAATATGGTTCACATACATACGGCACTTAATGGGTTAAGATTGATACATATTTAACCAGTATGGATATGATGTTTAATATTTACATATCACGGCACTTTACTTTCACATATACTGTATGTTTTAAGATAAGCTTGGTCTATGCCATATTTCCTTATGCCATACGATTTTATCCATTCAGGTTAAAGTTACTACTAAAAAACCTATACGGATTGTCAGGTTCAATACCATACTACCAGGTACGTACACCTGCTCACGTAGTTATCCATCTCTTACCTTCCCTGGAATAGTAATAGTGTACCGGCAATTAGGGTTCTAGGGCCCAATAGGTATTATCCCCTTTTTTTCTCTGCATTATGCTTGTTAGTGGTCCCGCGAGGCCAACACCCCGCCTCACACTCGGAGGCATACACGCATTGTATCATAGAGAGGGCCTCACCTGTCACTCCCCTTCCTATTTTTCTGGTTACTGTCACCGAGAGGCCAACATCCTGCCACAACGTTCGGTGGCCACACAAAATCCTCTCGCACCAAGCATAGATAGAGCCTCTCAAGCCACTTGGCAACTAGCAGGGCCTCACCAGTCACCAAAAAACACCAAGCCTAATCGTTTCGCCTTACGGCTTAGCTAGCATGCCGGTACAAGACCCCTGGGTACAAATATATAATTGCAATCTTTATTGTTATTTAAGTATTTCTCAAAAGATGGTAAGAATCACCTCTTCCTAGCACCCCGGCTAGAAGTGATACACCTTCATCTCTTACCTTCCCTGGAATAGTAGTAATGTACTGGCAATTAGGGTTCTATGGCCCAATAGGTATTACCCCCTGTTTTTCTGCTTTACGCTTCGGTTAGTGGTCCCGCGAGGCCAACACCCCGCCTCACACTCGGAGGCATACACCCCTCGGGCCACTCGTGAGCTAGCTGCCTCGCATTGTATCATAGAGAGGGCCTCACCTGTCACTCCCCTTCCTATTTTTCTGGTTACTGTCACCGAGAGGCCAACATCCTGCCACAACGTTCGGTGGCCACACAAAATCCCCTCTCGCCAAGCATAGATAGAGCCTCTCAAGCCACTTGGCAACTAGCAGGGCCTCACCAGTCACCAAAAAAAACACCAAGCCTAATCGTTTCGCCTTACGGCTTAGCTAGCAAGCCAGTACAAGAACCCTGGGTACAAATAATAATTGCAATCTTTATTGTTATTTAAGTATTTCTCAAAAAGATGGTGAAGAACTTCACTTCCTGGCACCCTGGCTAGAAGTGATACACCTTCAAGCAGAGGAGATGTGGCTCCGACCTAAGGAGGCGACAAATCCCCTACCCTGCCATAGCAAGGAAAGCAGAGTTATTCAAACTCCTCCATACATCAACGGAGGCCCAGCAACACCAACTCAGGTGACACCCAGGCCATGCTAGCCTCACTCATAAAATCATGAGCCAAGAAATTTACGACAGACTGGCAATCTCGAGTCAGTCACAGCCCTCACAAGGCTGGGCCTCACGCTACTGTACAACCAGCACCAACCGAAACTCGGTTACTTGGTACAAGATGTTAACCCTGCACATATGATCCCGGCACATTGGGAACACAAGGCATATATATGTATGATGATGTATCTATGATGGTCAGACCCAGGGATTCTAGGTAAATCGGGAACTGACCATCCCTTGGTTGTGTTGGCATTTGGAATATGTAGAGATGCTTATTTGTGCAGGTACCCATACAGAAGGGATTTTCTCCCAAACAAACGGGTGAGCACTCTCAGGCTCCAGGTACCAGCACCTCTGAACTACTAGAGACAATTGGTATTAGTAGTTGCATTGCATATAGACTGTTGCATATATGTTCAAATCATTCAGGGCGCATGACAAACCATGTGTCCCAATACAACTTACAAATAACGTACTCACCATCTGTACACACCAATGCATTTTCAACACTACTGACTCATCACCCTTCCAGACTTGTAGTAGATTTACTAGGGCTCTGGAGCTTCAAAGGGCTCCCATACAGGTATCATAAATAAACTCTCAAGGAATATAGCATGCCCTCACTTAGTCAGCACAACAGAACTGTCGGCTGTAAACACACTCATAGCCAAGATTTGCAGAGGGGTTTTTACTTGGGTTTCCAATCTCCACCATTTACAGCATGGCACCAAACACAAACGCATTGGTATTGTCACAAGGGAATCTTCCCTTAAACAAAGACTAACCATAGACTTATTGGGACCACACACCTTCGCTACCCCAAGTCTCAACTCCCTCATATCCTCCGAGGAGTTTCCTTACTATACACACCATTGATCTACCTTTACAGCTATCACTCAAGCATGGGTTGAAGCTTCGTTAAGTAAGACCAATATCATCAACACAGTAAACGGCTACCATCTACCCTACAAACTGGCACTTACATGGCATAAAATGGGCAATCCTTTCCCCGCTAAAAGCAGCTGCTGTGGCATGGGGTAAATCATGGTCAGGGTCATCAATCCGTTGTTACTCAGACAACTAAGCACATGTCATATCATCAACAAATGCCACTCATCATCCATACGATCATGGTATTGCTGGGGAACTCACTTGGTTGGCCACTTACCACATTTCTTTTACTTTCATGTACCAGGCGGGGGTATACATCCTTGCCGACAATTGTCTCATTTATATTCCAGGCACGTTCATTATACGCTTCCTACAGCCGCCCATACAGTCACGGCCACTCTTTCGTTCCAGAGACAAAATCATGGATTAGACATACTCATGCAGCATAGCATGCACTATCCCACCTAACACTTTCATCCCATACTTGTAGAACGCATAACACCTATTCACCTGGCTTTAAAGAATCTCATTGGAACACGACATAGCTCAACCTGTGTCATAACATTTCTCCTAGGTTTTGCTTAATTTTTTGCCACCTTAAACTAAAACCATCTCACACACCATTAATTATATATTTTACAGGCATTCAACAACACAGGATAACCTATGGCCAAACTACCATAACTTCATGCTATCATACCAGACAAGAATATACTCAGAGGTTTTCAGGAATCCATCCCCCCATGTTCCTCTCAGATATTACCAATAGCCATCCAACTTTTCCATCCTTATCGGACCTATTAGAGCTACAACCATTCAATTATACTACCAAGTTGGACATTACCAGCCATGCACACTGCCTTTTATGCCTTTCTCAGGCCAGAGAATCCACTACCATAACCACCACTCAGACAGATCATTGTCTTCAACGATCCCACGTATGTAAACACATATATCATTACCTATTGGCTCTACCACATTCCGAAACGAGTCAACACGCACCAACAGTAGAGATAACATACTATCCTACCCACAACAAATGGTGTCCAGTTGCGGTCCTAGATTCCTACCTTCAAAAATCCTTCAAGGAATTAAATACCGTAATGCATTTAAGGAAATGTCTGGTTAATTTGTATATATTGTTGACTGTATTAAATCTTTGATTATTCTTTTTGCCCTCTTTATTTACAGGCCTACCGTATCGTCGGTCTCGGCACACCACAACCCTTTATACTATCCTACGCTTATGCTGGAACCTTATTTCATATACGGCTATTTGCCCCGAACACAAGTTTTAAGGCCATTTGGCCTGTATTTGTGGGAGGGGCTTAAATTAATTCACTCCCCTATATAAGGGACACCCCTTACTTGACTCATATCGCTTGAGGTCAGCATCAGAATGACCCTCCCACCCACTCCTCATTTCAACACTTTCTCTTTTCTTTCCATTTACTTTACTTACTCCTTGGTGGGCCCTCTTTATTTACAGGCCTACCGTATCGTCGGTCTCGGCACACCACAACCGACTTGCTCCCTTTATACTATCCTACGCTTATGCTGGAACCTTATTCCATATACGGCTATTTGCCCCGAACACAAATATATATTTTAAATCCTTTATTTTGTTTGGGCAGAGAAACAATGCTATGAATATTGCATGTAGTTTATATCATATATCTACACAAGTAAATAGAGCATGCGGTCTGCTCAATTACCCCTGAGCGCTTGGCAGGGAGGGGGGTTGGCAGGTGTAATGCCCTGGTATTGTGTTAGATTATATTATGGGACCAATAACATAAAGTCAACTGCATAAAAGTAACAAACTAATAGAAGAACAAACAACAAACAAAACTGTTAGAGGTTTAGTCCATCTCAGTACAAACAGCCCAAACTCTGTCGCTTCTCAGTGTCTGAGTGTCGACAGCAGATGACTTTAGACACATCCCAGGAGTGGCTCGGCCCAGCTGTGCTGGTGGATAGTGAGGTAAGACCCATGTCCCGAAGGAAAGTCTTCCACAGAGGCAAGTTGGTGAGTGCGGCTATATCTGCGAACTGTCAGGGTGCTAAGAGGGACCCCACTTTTACTGGAGCACAGAGTCTTCGTGACTTGTTGGAAGGACCACCTCCAGTCCAGGCTAAATCAGCACAGAGCTTGTAGGAACAGGAGCTGCATCTACTCAAACTGAAGCTGTGTTCTGCTTTACACAGTGTCTTGTATTGCCAGCTTATCACGAAGCAGTGGAAAGCGGACCAGGACATCACGAGGAACACGAGACGGTACCCTGTTGGATTTGGTGAGCCGGAAACAACTTGGATGCCCTTTTCGAGCATTGGGGCAAAAGAGTAGTAAATAGGTATCTGAGAAAGTGAGGCAATTCGTGCTCATCTACGGATTCAGCAATTTTCAGGTTATTGCACCTCCATGCATCATCCAATGTGTCAATTCTGATCTGCATGTCTTTGTGGGATACCAGGAGTTGTAGTACCAGCTCATTGGTTCCTGTCTGCTTTTGCAGTATGGGGGAGAATTTGTCCTTATTGTCTTGTACTCTGGCAGTAACAACAGATATTACTTCACGGATTATGTCCAAGTCTTCAATAAACAAGACTCGGATGTTGTGCATTAGGGCCTTGATATCCCCCATTGGTGGCTGGAGATGACCCGTCTTTCTCCTGGTGAGGAGAGACTGGGCCCTCTGTTCGAGGTATTTCATTGGGAGTGTCAAAGAGTTGTTCCTCGTAAGAGAAATAATGGGGATCTGGTTGCACCACAATTTTGGGATTAGGTTGCATTTGACCTGCGTGGAGGGTTTTCAGCTTCTTAGCTTTGTGCCATATGCCCCTCTGATGTTTTGAACCTGAGCTTGGGATATCTTGAGATTTTACAATGAATACATCATGTATATTTGTGATATATGACATATTCAATGTGTATGGTTGCAATTTAAGGGTACATGGTTGTTTACAGGTCTTCTGTAGGATCAAGGGTCTACATTTAGTCAGATTTATTTACTCTATATGTGCCTCTAACTTTAAAGAAATACATTTTCTGATTATGAAAGACAAATAAAGGAGAACATGAAAAGGTATCCAGTATATGTTTGTTGCTTGGGTCAATTAGATATAATTTGTTGCCTTTTTCTGTAATCTGTTCAAACAATATATTCAATGTTGCCCAATTTTGTGAGTGGCTGCCTATTTTGTTTTATTTACATTTGATAATATTGGACCTTTAACAAATATATACTTTTAGATCAAAAGGAAAAAAAAAGTGAACACAGTGTTGATAAATATTTCTTGACTGAAGTTATGCAGTATATATTCCACTGAAAATATAGACATTTTAGAACTGGTTCTATCACATTTATCAGCAATCTCAAAATAGAAAAGTAGAGGTTGGAAACAAAACTGAAATAGGCGCTTAGATGTACATAGTCCCTGATCAAACATTCACTACAATTTGACATTGTATAATGTCATAACATGTACATGGCTAGTACTTCCTCATTTGTGTTTCAATGTGTTGCTTGTTAGTAGACAGGGAGGCTCGTATGGCTCAGGGAGGCCCAGGGAGGCTCAGGGAATTTTAGGGAGGCTCAGGACTCAGGAGAAACATAGAAACATAGAATGTGATGGCA